TCTAAATCTTATTTTAAGGTAGGGTTCTGCTAAGTTGCCCAGACTGGCCTTGAATCAGTGTGGGCAATTTGTGAGCCAGCCTCCCAAATCTCTGGGATTACAGGTGTGCACAACCCCTCCCAGGTAATTTGAATAAACATAAAAATGTTAGGCCTAGGGCTGTGGACACAGCTCAATGGTAGAGTGCCCACCTGGCATGGGAGAAGCCCTGGGTCCCACAAAAAATTTTAAAAGAATCCAAAATGCCAGGTGCAATGGTACACACCTAGTAATCCCAACTACTCAGGATACTGAGGGAGGAGGAGCACAAGCTCTAGACCAGCCTAAGCACCTTAGCAAGACCCTGTCTCAAAATAAAATTAAAAGGGCCAGAAATGTTGCTTAGTCATACAGAACCCCTGGGTTCAATCCCCACAAAAATACATATATAAAATAAAATGAAATTAAGGTTGGGAGTATAGTTTAGTGATAGAGCTTTTGCTTCGCAAGAGCAAGGCCTCGAGTTGGGTTCGATCCCCAGCACCGAAGAAAAAATGAAAATTCCCCTTTAACACTTTGTTATCTATCCTTCCAATCGTGCAAGGCACTTATATATTATACATTTACATTTCCATACATTATACATATAATTTAAATGGTAACATGCAATACGAAAGATCGCCAGCAGGTGGAGCAAGAGGGCTGCGTCAGCCGCGCGGAGGGCCTCTGCAGAGTTCTGGGCGCCACACCCAGTTCCTGTCAGGGATCACCAGATGTTTAAGGCAGAGGATGCTCAAATCAAAGATTTCACCGCTCAGGTGGTGTCCTCCGACTCCGAGCGCCCTGCGGACGCTTGTTTTTCTTGTGTTCGGCTAAGCTCTAGTTGTGAAAGAGGGAGTCCCAATTTCTCAAGATGCCTTGCTTCATGTTTGGGGCAGCAGTGCCAGGAGAAGAATAAGGCTGGGATTCCTTGGTGTCTTTTTTGCATGGTGGTTCCCTTTCCCATCTCTACTCTGGCTGGTGTTGAGATCTTTTATACAGTCCCTTTCGGATTTTTTTTTTTTTTTTTT